ATGGGAAATCCTTGTATTGCTCATTTAAAAAATGTAGCTTAGACTAACGAAAAATCTAAGTGTTAAGGTGCTTTTATTTTAACTTATTCATAAATACTTTTTTCATATTCATAAATACTGAAATACACTGAACTCTATAGCCTGAGGTGACCATATGGTAGAATTACAGGATTTGGAACTCAGAGGGACTCAGGTCGTGTAATTCAACATCCTAACTTTGCCAAGGTGAAAACTAAGCCTCAGAGCTGGGGCTTCTTTTTTTTTTAAAGATTTTATTTGTTTGACAGAGAGAGACACAGCGAGAGAGGGAACACAAGCAGGGGACGTGGCAGGCAGAGGGAGAAGCAGGCTTCCCGCGGAGCAGGGAGCCAGATGTGGGGCTCGATCCCAGGACCCTGGGATCATGACCTGAGCCGAAGGCAGACGCTTAATGACTGAGCCACCCAGGTGCCCAGGGCTTCTGTTTTTTAAACAGCAGTTTCTTCCCTTATAAAATAAGAGAGCTTTCAGACAGACAAATTAGTCTGTGACGACTAGATGGAGACAACTGATTTGCTCTTGACACTGTATTTAACATTCTAAACAAATGAAAGTAAAACCCAGAGGAAGAGTTATGATACAAAATGCATTAAGGCTTCCCTGTCACAAGTCAGGCAGTGACTGCTGGAGGTAGGGATTCCCAATTCCCAGAATAAGAAGTGTCATTTCCTAACTAACTATAATTGGTTTTCAAACTGAGACCTAGAATCTTCAGGTGTATATTCTGCAGAGCAGTACACACCACCGTGGATAAAAGTTACCCTCCTCCACCATGCTTTCTCATCTTTCTGTTTCACTGCCTTACCTGCTTAAAAGCTAGATAATCTCTTCTCTTAAGCTTTTGTACACTGTAAGCTTGCTTTTTAACACCTTTTTTTTTTGATACAGCCTTGTTTTCATAAGAATATGTAACAGAATTTTAAAGTGATGCTTAACTTGATCACAATGTTGCTTTATTTTTCTGTATTTCGTATAGAAGTTACTCCCATGGATGGGTCATGGCATGGGGAAGAAGAAAAATAGACAAATACTACATGATGTCCTGAGTTCTTAAAGCTTAATTCATGTAGTATTTGGCAATATGGAAACAGAAAGGAAAATGTAAGAACATATAAAGGTTCTCGCAGATTGTTATCACTTGGATAAAGTAAAAAAGTGTAAGAGTAATCATTTGATTTTTGTTTTTCTTTCAATTCCTTTAAATTTGCAGTTATTTTTTGTTTTCCTAGTGTTATAAACAGTATTTTTTCATTGTGAGGGAGTCTCAAAAGTATAGGCTACTTAATCAAATATATGTTCTGTAATTATAAATATCAAGACTAAAATCCTATTTAGTGATGTCTTGAATTATGATGAAAACCTTGACATGTAATAATTTCACCCCTTTCTTCTTTATCCTCTCAATTTTGTTTGTTGTTATTAATACACAGACATGTCTTCCCATTAGGATCTAAACATTTTAAAGGCAGGTAGTATGACTTGTTCAATCTTACATCCTTCACTTCTAGCAAAACGCCTGATTCACAGAAGGTATTTGTATGATTAAATGAAGCAATCCCATCATGAGCACTCTGCTCAAGCAAGTCAGTAAATCATGTTGAAATGCTGAGTATGGAACGGTGTGCTTTGTTTGTTAAGTCACCTGGGAAAACATCTCAATAAACAAATCCAACTATTGCAACCAATTATTGATCTACTCTTTAATGGATCAACTCTGGAGATGGGAAGTCTCACGGCTTCATAGCTTTCCTACATCTTTCAGAAGCCTCCAAACTCTTAGAGTAAACATTTATATTATAATCAATATGGAGTTTTAATTTTTTTAAATTTATTGTTTGACAGAAAGAGACAGCGAGAGAGGGAACACAAGCAGGGGGAGTAGGGGAGGGAGAAGCAGGCTTCCCGCGGAGCAGGGAGCCCGATGCAGGGCTCGATCCCAGGACCCCGGGATCATGACCTGAGCCGAAGGCAGACGCTTAACCGACTGAGGCACCCAGGCGCCCCGGAATTTTAATTTTAGTGAGTAGTAATTTTGAATATACATACACATATATCTATATGTAATGAAATTAAATCTCTAATACAATGCTTTACATTGGAGTGGCATATTGGACTAAGGAATCTGATTGACCTTTCATTAGAATCCCACATTCAGTATTTACTGGTTGCCTGGCAGTAGGTAATGCTTGAACCTCTCTGACCTTGAATTGTTTCATTTAGTTTTTAAATTTGTAAATGAGAAGAATCATGATCAATACATGGGATGACTCTGAAGCTTTCCTTCCCCTTAAACCTATGTAAATATGTAGGAAAAGTATAGCCTCCCTTCGTATTAATTTTGTTAGGAATTTATACTTGAAAATAAATAAATTTAATATGACAAAATTAGAGAGATAACTCAGTCAAATCTTAAATTTGACTTAGGCTTTTATGGCTAGTGGGAAGAGCAATCAACACATATTCTACCTATGATGTATATACATAGTATTCAAAGTTTATTAGTCACTAAATATTTATTGGTGAGGTTTCAATGGCCTGTCCACTTGGCACATCTTTTGATACTAATAATGGAAATAACAGCTACCTTGTTTCATAACTTTACAGTTTGCAAACTTTCACGCACATTTAATCCTTTGTCGCCAGCTGGTAATGAAATGCTTTCTAATTATTATGCATCATTGGACAGGGTAAGCCTGAAGGCCAAAAGCAGTTAACAGGTATTAATTATAGCCATTTACTTTCCCCTGAACTTTAATTGACATTCTCTCAGGTTAAAATCCTTAAGTGTTCTATACGTTTGCTTCCTTTGGTCTCTCCTCTATTCATTTGTCTTTTAAACATATCATGTATTGTCCAATTTATAAAATTTTGTGGCTCAATCTAGGGTGTCTCTTACTGCAATGATTAAAGCAGTTTGCTAAGATTTCCTTGTTTTTTATTGAGCATATAGTAATCTGTGCTGGAAACAGAATAAATAAATTCCAAAGATGGTTATTGAAACTGAAAACAGTTAAGAAAGACTATTTTTACCCAGTCCAGTCATGCAGATATAGTATGGTTGGCTAATATTACGTTGATTTGGAAATCATAAAACATGTGGATCATTGTGATTTGGGAACCTATTAGAAATTGAACACCAAAGAGCTTTGCAGGGCTTTGTGAGGGCATTGAGTTCAGTGGCTCTGAGCCTTCCTCATCTTACAGACTCAATCATACTGTCAAAGAAATTGAGTCTCATCATCATGGGAACAAAAACTCTTTTCTCCTTAAGAAGATGATTGATATTTACAGCTAATCTTTAAATACATATAGTAAATTATATATAATTATATGTAGTAAATTATAATGACATGAAGTTGAAAGGGAATAGTATTGGGATCAGTTTTATTTCTATGATTTAAAACACAAATTGAGGGGCACCTGGGTGGCTCAGTCCGTTAAGCGGCCAACTCTTGGTTTCAGCTCAGGTGATGATCTCAGGGTCCTGGGATCAAGCTCTGCAACAGGCTCTACCCTCAGTGGGGAATCTGCTTATGGATTTTCTCTGTCCTTCTACCTCTGCCCCTCCCCCCACTCGTGCGCATGCTCTCTCTTTCTCTCAAAATAAATAAATAAATAAATCTTAAAAAAAAAACCCACAAATTGACAAAAATGGCTATCCCATTTGTAGTTGAAGACTAGAGTAAGAATGCACAATATAAATTTCTTCATACATAAGTATAAAACGAAAAGACGATATAAGCTGTCATACATGGTATTTGAAAAACAACAGAAAACAGGATGACGTAGAGAATAAATTCTTTACAAATGCCATAAAAACCCTATCTAATTGGTAGTATACATATACCCTGCTTTAATATTTACATTTCCTATTTCTTATAGTACATTGCATATTTGTCCCAAACCTTGACCTTTACTCTTCCCTGTGTATAAGCACTTTGTACATGACTATGGTTCTTCCTGTTAGAGAACATATTTCTCTGGCCCTTGACTTAGGTTCATCCACGTGACATGCTTTAGTTAATAGAATAAGGAAGGAGTAACGGTATGCCAGCTCTAGGCTGGGCTTTAAGTGAGCTGGCATGATGACTCAACCACACCCAGCCCAGATCAGCTGACTTCCAGTGGACCCACAGATGCATGAGCGAACCAAGCTTAGATATACTGGTTACCTTACACTGGTTACCTAGCTGTTTTCTGTCTGACTCTATTTCTCTCTCTATTGATCTATCAATCTTTTGATGTATCAGTTTATCCTATCTATCTATCTATCTATCTATCTATCTATCTATCATCTATCTATCTACCTACCTATCTATCTAATGCCATACTCTGTTGTGGATTAAAGTTTAAAATATTTATGGATCTAGATTAAAGTTTGAAATATTTATGAATTTCAGATTTCTTGTTTCAGGGAAGTGAGATATTATTTGTCCAACACTGTCTTGTGGCCTATGGGTAGGAAGAGGGCAGAAAAGTGCTGCAATATGACATAAGTATGCACCTTCCTCTATCAAGATTATTTGTTCTAATTTCAAAGCAACAAGGACTAGAGGCAAGAATTTTTTTTAGTGTTTCAGAGAGTTTTGATGTGCTTCATGGTATGGAAAAGAATCTGGAAAAGCCCATTAGGTCTCAGAACTAATTAAGTCAATATTTACTGATCACCTACTGTGGGCCAGAATGTACTGGAGATACTGAATATGCAGTAGTAAGCAAGAGACACATGATCCCTGCTGCCCCGGTCTGGTGGAGAAGACTGATATTATTAGTCCACATCGCACTAGTAGCTACATAATGACTAATTATGACAAGTAACATGAAGGAAAAACACAAGATGCTGTGGGAGCACATAGTAAGGAGTTCTTATCATAGACTGTAGGGTCAGAGATGGCTTGTTATGTGGCATTTCAGCCAAATGTGAAAGATAAGTAGAAATGAATCAGGATAAAAGAAGTAAGGTTCAGGTTCCTGGTGGTCGGTTGTCGCGGTTGGTGGGTAGTAACTGAGCCAAGATGTGGAATCTGCCGGCTCTTCGTCAGATTGCCCAGAGGACCATAGGTACTGCTTCACGCAGGCAGTTTGAAAATAAAGTTCCAGAGAAACAAAAGCTGTTTCAGGAGGATAATGGAATTCCAGTGCATCTAAAGGGTGGAGTAGCTGATGCCCTCCTGTATAGAGCCACTATGATCCTTACAGTTGGTGGAACAGCATATGCCATATATCAGCTAGCTATGGCTTCATTTCCCAAGAAGCAGGATTGACTTCAGTTTATCATCTCAGCAGGCAGTTGGTTCAGTTCCATTCAGCTCTCTGTGGACCGGATAAATAAATGAGTTCTTCTTTGGGGGAAAAAAAAAAAAAAAAGAAGAAGAAGTAAGGTTCAGAGAAAAGCATTGCATTCTGAGGAGTAATCTGGGCAAAGATTCAAAAAAGGAAGGCATGTGGTATAGTCTTAAAAAAAAAAAAAGCCAGTGTGACTTGGGACTGAGCAAGAGAGGCCTGTGAGGAGGCTGGACACAAGGCAGGGAATATACTACATAGGGCCCTGTAGGCTTATTAAAAATTGGGGGCTTTATCCTACGTTCAATAAGAAGATATCCAAAGACTTTTAAACAGAATTAGATTCAAATTTGCATTTTAAAAGATCATTCTGGATGTAGTAGGGCAAAAAATGAGGGAGAGGAAAATGGAGGCAGGGAGGCCAACACGGTGGTGGCCATGGGTCAGATGCGAGATGAAAGTGGGTTAGATTGGGACTGTAAGGGAATTTTGTTGTTTGTTTGTTTGTTTGTTTTTTAAAGATTTTATTTGACAGAGAGAGACACAGTGAGAGAGGGAACACAAGCAGGGGGAGTGGGAGAGGGAGAAGCAGGCTTCCCGCCAAGCAGGGAGCCCGATGCGGGGCTCGATCCCAGGACCCTGGGATCATAACCTGAGCCGAAGGCAAATGCTTAACGACTGAGCCACCCAGGCACCCCTGTAAGGGAATTTTGAAAGTAAACTTCAGAATGTTACGGGGGATTGGATATTGAAAGTATTTAGATTAGCCATTAATGTGTGATAAGTATCCCCAAATCTCAATGACATACAACAATAGCATTTGCTTAGCTCATACACCTGTGGGTGGGTTATCTATGCTGGGCCTTTAGGCAGCTGTGCCCTGGGCCTTCTCGATCCTGGTCCCATACACTTTCGTGTGCTGGCTCTTTATTGTTGTTTCATAGTGTGATCCTCCCTTTTCACTTGACTAGATTGTAGCTTCTTGAGAATATGCATTATTGTTCACACTTTAGAAATATTCTCCAAAATATAGTTAAGGGTATGACTACATAAATGGTAGAATCTTAATAAGTGTTGGCTTAGCTACCAATTTGTATAAAGCCAGGCTAATTGCTCAGAATTTGGAAGGGGTATATTGAATCACTTTCTAATTGATTGATTGATTGATGCAATAATGTATTGATTTTCCCAGCCCTTTATTTAGCAGTCAGTGTACTAGGACCTGAGGATTCAGAAAATTCCAAAACCTTATCCCTATTCTCTTGGAATTCAGTCTAGTAGGATTGAGAGACCTATAAAGGAAAATAATTTGTGCCTTTCAGTCTACATTATCATTGAATACCATTACCGGACCATTAAAAAAAATCACCTGTAAAAAATATATTCTTGCAAAATAACCATGAAAATTTCAGACTGATAAGTCTGAACTATGTAGTCTGAATGCAGTGAACTCTGTCCATATCCTTGCAAAGATCAGTTAGCCTCATTCCAAACTCCAAAGTGTAGCTTAGTTTAACTAAAACAATCTTCCCACTTCTACCTTCCACACACAAACCTGACTAATATTCAGTGAGTAATGTTGAAATGAATTTTATCCTTCACAAGGAGCTCAAAAATCTAAATGTAAGAAGAGAAATAATTTGACAAATTCTATTTAAGCTCCCACATGTCTCCTAATTCCAGACATTATATGAGCATTGTGGAGATCCTTAAAGCTAATACACACAAACAAAAAGAGGATTTTATGGCTTCTGGTTAGAATTAAAGAAAAACAATCTTTCTCTTGAAGAGATTTTATAAAGGAAGAGAGAAGGACAATCTCTGCTGTTTTGCTCCCAGTTATTATTTAGCAACTGAGTGCTGATATGGAAACCATAGAAGAGCTTATTTTAAACTATTTTTAGTTCTGAAGACTTACAACAAAATAAAGAGATTACTCCATTTTTAAATTTTTTTTAAGATTATTTATTTATTTGATAGAGAGAGAGATAGCGAGAACAGGAACGCAAGCAGGGGGAGTGGGAGAGGGAGAAGCAGGCTTCCCGCCGAGCTGGGAGCCTGACATGGGACTCAATCCCAGGACCTTGGAATCATGACCTGAGCTGAAGGCAGATGCTTAACCGACTGAGCCACCCAAGCAGCCCTCCATCTTTAATTTTTTAAAGAAAACTGTAAGACTCCCCCATCTTTAATATTATTTTATAACACCGGTGAATAGATTATCTCTACAGACAAGTGTCAAATGCATCAGCTAGCTATATATTAGATTATGTTAGGAAATCTTGCCAAATATGAACATGATGGTTTTCTCAGCCAAGATAGAAAGTCTACAGTAATTATTTTTGTTATTCATACTTCAAATTCACTTTGTCTCAAATATCCAAGTAACTGAAGCAAAATTAGAAATTTTATCCGTGGAGTGAGTGCTAAAATGATTTAAGGTCTAGTAAAAAGCTGTGGTTAAACTGAAAAAGAGACATTTCCATAGTTGTTTTTAGAGTCTTTTTTTCCTTCTACACCAATGTTTACTTTTTTATTTAAATATTTTGCTCTCTTGGTTTGAAAGTAGAAAATAAAAAAGTGATTCCACATAATTGAATTACTAGTCGAACTGCAGATGTTAGGTTTTAAACAAAATTATTGATCACCTAGGTGTAAAAATGTCATAATTTCTGGGGCGCCTGGGTGGCTCAGTTAAGTGTCTGACTCTTGATTTTGGCTCAGGTCATGATCTCAGGGTCCTGAGATCAAGCCCCTTATTGGGCTCCATGCTCAGTGTGGAGTCTGCTTGTCCCTTTCCCTCTGCTTTTCCCCAGCTCACTCTTTCTGTTTCTCAAAAATAAATAAAATCTTGCAAAAAATGTTGCAATTTCTTTTTATGAAATTTCTGTGAGAAATAGGGAGAGAGAAATTTTTTTGCTGGGTGAAACCTATAAAATTTGAGAATTTTTATTAGCTGATATTCAAAGGCAAATTTAGGCCTGTAGGACAAAGCTTGTATACCTCAATTTATAATAATACACAGAGAGATGATACTTAAAATTTTGCTGCATGCCTTATAAGAGATATTTCCCTTCTCAAATCCAGCCATTTACTACCATCAAAAACTTAATTCAAAATAGTCCACTGTCTCTGACATTTATACACACACTCCTTTTTATACATTATATACACATGTACATGTTTTGTTTGTTTGTTTTTTTTAGAGACAGAGAGTGCACCGATGGAGAGAGGGAGAGAGAGAATCTTAAGCAGGCTCCACGCTCAGTATGAAGCACCCTGTGGGGCTAGATCTCAGGACCCGAGCTGAAATCAACAGTTGGATGCTTAACTGACTGAGCCACCCAGGACCCCCTCATGTACATACATTTTTAAAAATTTAACGAGATCTTACCACAAACATTTACGCATTATGAGATGGATTATTGTTTTAAGAGTTTGTCTTGGTGACTCTTTAGTGTCATTCTATATAGATATACAACATTATTCATAAGTGCAATGTATTCCCTAAAACTGACATGCCATGACTTATTTAATTATCCTGACAGCAATTTGATTGATTTGGTTTATTTGCTTTAGAAGAATACAACAATGAACTTTCTTACACGTGAATCTTTGAACAAATATGAATTCTATAGGCTAAATATATAGAAGTAAAATTCATGCATGTGGCTTACAGAAATGTTAAGTTTTGATAGATATTGACAAAAATACCCTCTGAAAATGGTTAGTGACTTCAAATTCTCACCAGTGGGTTATGAAGGTACCTGTTCTTTCATATCCTCCCCAAAATAAATACTGTCAAGCTTCAAAAGTTTATATAACCTGAGGAGTAAAAACTATTTCAGTTTCAATTCCCCTCATTGCTACTAAGGTTTAGCATAATTTCATATATATGTAGAAGGCAGTTTTTCTTTCTGTGAATTCTTGTATCTTTTGTCTAATTTTTTTAAGATTTACTTATTTATTTGAGAGAGGGGAGGGGCCACAGGAGAGGGTGAGAGAGTATCTTCAGGCAGACTCCCCACTGAGCATGGAGCGCAACGTGGGGCTCAGCCCCACAACCCGGGAGATCATGACCAGAGCTGAAACCGAGAGTCGGTCGCTCAACTGACTGAGCCACCCGGGCACCCCTTTTATCTAATTTCTTATAAGATCATTGCCTCTTTTCCTAGTTATGTGGGAGATCTCTCTGTACAATGGTCATTACTACTTGTTTCTTAAACTTTTTTGCAAATATTTTCTCTCAGTATTGTCTTTTATTATTGCTATTGTTATTATGATCTTTGCCAAAAAGAAATTTGAAGATTTTTATATAGTTTATCTGTTAATTATTTTCTTTAGTTTGTGGGAGTCCCTTTCTCATTACTCAAGATTAAAAAACCATTATTCTATTTAAAAATTTTTTAAAATGTTACTTACATTCACACTTTAATCATTTGGTAATTTATTTTATGTATGGTGTTCAGTAGGGTTCTAATATAATCTTAAAGGGCTAGTTGCACCTTTTAAATAATCCAACTTTTTCCTGCTAATTTAAATTTCCATTTTCTCTCACATATTAATACACACACCAATGTGCACACACGCACATTTGCCTCTTCCGGACTCTCCGGTTTGTTCCCTTCATCTACTTGTCTGTTCCATTCCTGTGCCAATTAACTGCTTGCATCCTCATAGCTTCACAGTAGGTTTTGATGTTTGTTATGGCAAGTCATCCCAGTTGTCCCTCCCAGATAGCCTTGTCTAGTTCCATAGAAGTCCTATTATGAATTTGACTGAGATCATATTGAATTTATAATTATTTGATGGAGTATTATGGTCTCTTCAGTGTTGAGTGTAGTGATTCTTAGTTATGCAGTCATCGTGATATTTGGAATTTCCCCTTTCCCTGTCTATGGATGATATTTCTATTTAGGTTGCTTCCAGATTGTGGGCAAGCTATGGAACACACTGCGGGATTTACCCTGACCTCCCTTCTGGGCACTCACCTGCTGCTTTATTCAGGACCAACTGTGACATCCTGCATCTATTGATTCTGGCTCTGAAGATCTTCCAACCACATCT